TCATTGCCTTTTCTCTTTTACTTTCCTTTTTAGTTTTATTTTAAGATTCCCTATTTTTAATGTTCATACAGAGATTTCTTTAACTGAAATACCGAATAGTTTCTTTGGTGTGAAAAACTATAATAGTACACAGGATCCTAATGAGATAATTAATAATGTGAAATAGGAAGTAAAGGGCTACAGGTGTAGGGAAAGTGGGAAGGGTGGGGGAAAGGTAATAAGGGAGAGGAAAAAAATATGAGAAACTGAAAAAATGGAAACAAAGTGTTTGTAAATGGGGAGGGGAGGAGGGGTGAAGGGAGGGCAGGGACAAGGGGAAAAAAATGAGAATCAAGACCTATTATGTAAAGGTATAGAATCCCAATGATGAATGTAACTGTATTGTATACCTAGATTGTACCAATAAACTCAATTAAAAAAAAGTTTGCAGGGTGGAGAAGTGCACAAGTTTCAAGATAAAGTTTGGGGGCAGAATCAACAGACATGGGGATGGACCCAATTTGGAAGTTGGTGGGGGAAAAGAAGAAATTATGGTCAGTGGGCCCAGCTGTGTGCATGGTGGCATTTCAGCAAAAGGAAATATTAGAAACACAGGTTCCAGAGACAAACCTACAATTGTATTTGACATGTTAAATTCTACACCATTATGGCCCATTCAAAGGGATAAATCATCTAGGCAGCAGGCTCTCTTCTGTAAATCTCATAAAGAAGAGATCTAGGATGAAGAAAGATTTTTTTGTTTTGTTTTATGAGAATTTTTCATTTTTTAAGAAATGGGAAGTAGGCACTGTAGTGCACACCTAGCACTATGGGAACATGAGGCAGGAGGATTGCAGGGTTCAGCCCAGCTTGAGCAAATAGCAACTTAGTGAGAAGCTTTCTTTCAACAAACACAAAAACAAAAAACAGCACTGTGGGAGGCTGAGGCAGGAGGATCATCAGTTTGAGCCCAACTCAAGAGACCTAGAAACTTAGCAAGATCCTGTCTCAAAATAAAAAAGGACAGGGAATGTAGCTCAGTGGGAAGGTTGGGTTCAATCCCTAGTGCCACACATATACAAAAGGTGGCGGGGGATAAAGGGGGAGAAGGAGAGAAAAGCTTATTGTGTTACCCAGGCTGTCCTCAAACTCTTGGTCTTCATCAATCCTCCTGCCTCAGCCTCCTGAGCAGCTGTGACCACAGGTCCATGCCACTACATCTAGCAAAAGTGGTTTTGAGGATTTTATCGTACATATGTGAAAGTCAGTGTCCTGAGACTGAATGATGTGACTCTGGAAGCCTAGAGAGAGAAAAGCACAATGCCCTTCCTGAGTGGGAGAAGCTCCCCCGTAGTTAGAGGTCTGATCAAGGAGGAGACGCACACAGAGCTCCTGTGAACCAGGGAGCCAGGAGGAGAGTCTGAGGCTCTGGTCAACGGTGTCCTCAGCCACTGGGAGAGCAAAGCCAGCACACTGACTGATGTTTCCTGGACTGATCTGAACATCAACCTGTCCAGGTTTGCTGAATGCCTGCCCTGCCAAAACTTGTCCCTTCTTATCATGCCAACCCCCTGTGTCTGTAGCAGCAGCCATTGGTCATATTCCTGGAGAGGGCAGAGAGAAAAGAGAAAAGATTTCCAGCAGTGTTGTTCATGGTAGAAAACGAAGAGTTGTTTTTTCTTTTTTTTAATTAAAGGAAGTGTCCACTGGCAGACTAATGGATGAATTAATGTTACCGTGTACAGGGTACCGTGACCCTTTGCAGGATGGGGGCGGCTTCACCCGAGTCACCTTTTCCAGAAAGTGTCATTGCTTGCTTCCGTATTCACTCTCCAGAAAATCTTCACTTTAAGAAGGACAGCAGAGGTCCAGAAAGGAGGCGGAGGAGTTGATAGAAATTATAATGTACTCTGTTGCAGGCATAAATTCTCAGTCCACAAATAGCCATAAAACTTTTAAAAAACAGTTTTATTTCTTCAGTTAACATGCACTTAACAGCTCATATCGGGCACAGTGCTGGGCCTTAGAGATAGAGCATAAAGTAGGACCAAGACCCTCCTTCGCGGAGCTTCCTTTCTAGAGATGGAGAAGACCTAGATATCTGAGAAGACAAACGTGTCCAGACATAAAGCGAGAAAGGGGACTGGACACTGATGGGAGAGGTTCTAGTTCAGGGGGTCCGGTCAGCGAAGACGTCCCTGAGCTGGTGGCGCCTAAATGGAGTGATGATGGAGTCGGTCACACGGGGACCCAGGGAGCGGTGTTCCAGGGGGAGGGAACCGGAAGTGTAAGGACCTGAGGCCGGAAGAGCTCTGTGCATAGCCAGAGGCCAGAGTGGGAGACCTGGAGCGGAAAGCGCAGGGAAGCAGCGCAGAGACAGATTCTCTGCGGCTTTAGGGCCACGCTAAATCGTTTGGATTTTGTTCCCAGGGTGGTAGGAAGTCACTGGAGGGTGCTGAGCCGGAGAGTCTTGCAGCAATTCATATGTGAAAAGATCACTAAAAAAAAACCAAAATAAAAATTTTGATCGCTCTGGCTTTTGTATGGGAAACAAGTGAACTCAGAAGCGTGGAGACCGCTACATAGCCAGATGCTATGGCAACTGGAACTTGGCTACGAAAAGCAGCCAGTTGTTTCTCATTTCTTTCAGTGTAGTAAAAGACACATGAGTGCCGAGGATTTAGCTCAGTGGTTCCGCTGCCTGCCTCGCAAGCAGAAGGATCCGAGTTCAATCCCTGGTACCAAAAAAAAAACAAACCCAAAAAGCAACAACACATGATTTGCCACTTTAACCACTTGGGGTTAAGGGGTGGGTTTGAGACAGGGTTTTTCATTGTAGTTCAGGCTGATCTTGAACTCACTCTGTAGCCCAGGCTGGCTTAGAATTTGCAGTGATCCTCCTGCCTCAGCCTCCCACGTGTTGGGATTACAGGCGTGCACCACCATGCCTGGCAGTAGTATAATGTTTTTAAGATTCATTTGCGTTGTAGCACGTGTCAAATCTTCATTCCTTTTTATGTCTGAGTAATATTCCATTTACCATATTTTCTTATCCATTCA